GACATTTATCTTACCGTACTCGGTGCAAACCTCCTTCTCTGCTTTGCTTTGGCTTTTGTTTGACTTTTTTTTTTTAAACCAGGTTCCTCAACTGAAATGTCTTTGATAGCTACACACCTAAAGATTGATCCAGCTCAGGAATCAAAGAAATAGCACCTGGAAATACAATTCTCACATTTTTTGCTCTCTCCAGAGTCCAAAGGAATACAGACCGATGGGAGTTTTACCCAAAGGACTGCAGGAGACAATATACTCCAGAAGAAGCAATTGAAGAGACGAGTACACAAAGAAGTATGTAGCTTCTTAGACAACAACTCCAGATACTGCCAACTATTAGGAAACAAATCCGCTAAAGACCTCCTCATTTTCATGATGCCATATCCAACTTCAAGCTATACACATAGCAACATTTCATTACACACCTGCAAAATTTATGACTGCACTGCAGAATCCATATGTAACTAGTGCCATACTGCAAGTTCTGGGTTGGTCTTTTTCTCCCCACTCGTATTATAATTATTGGGATTCAAAGCACATTTCTCAGCCATGGTACATACTGAAAATGATCTCTCACGCCGATATCAGACAATCTTTGTACACACAGTCCAAAAAGACACAAAAAAATAACCCCAGTAATTATCACATCCTGATGCTTCGCTGTCAGGTCTTACCCTTGCTTCTGACTGTTTACAATCAGCAGGTAATTCTTCGACAGCGCTCTATCATTCTGTGAGAAAACTGTTCTCCTGTGCTTTACAAAGGCTATAAACACACATGCAGCTACCACAAAAATATTTACCTCTCTGAGCTCCAGCCTGCACAACGTCCTTCTGATCTACCAGAGACATATTCCCCGTTCACTGTGTACCAGCTCAGACAGTAGCTGTCATGAGCCAGGGGAGCAAAGATGTGGTGTGATGGCTTTGAATTCCTTTTGGAAGCGATGCCCTACCACTGCCAAAAGCCCTCCTGAAGCTTTTGGAAAAATATTGCACTTTCCTTGACTTGCCCCTAGCTGGGAACCCACTGCTTCAAACCCTTCTGCTGTTTCCTGCTCATTGCCCAAAGTTATAATTTGTACAGACAGATGCCATAACTAACTCAGCTGAAATTTCTGCCACCACTGGTCACCATCCTAGAGCTGTACAGAAGCTGGTATGTATTCCTTAGGCCCATGCACAGGACCATGCAGGTAGGTGTTCAAGGACCACTTGCAATTTTTAGGCACTCAGTCATCTGTTTACTCCTGCCTTTGATATCATAGATCATCCTGCCTATCTCATCCTTACTACCTTCATCAGTGGCAGTAGCGACTAACACTCCACAAATACACAATAATGGCGAACGCTGTCTACAAAACCAGCATTAAAACTCCACTGACTTCTGTCTCTTTGGATAAGACAGAAAAGCAGTGCAAGGAATGATGTTTTAGGGGTTTTGGTTGGGTTTTTTTTTAATGTTGCAAAAATATGAAATGCAGAAGACATCACTGGATGGAAAATAAGGGCATTAGGTTCATGCTTGCCAACAACTCTTAGAGAGTACTGTGTTCGCATTCCTCTGCACACCAAAATGTCTCTCAGAAGCCTTTAACAGGGACGCCTGCCATCAATGCACCTGGGCTTAAGCCAACAGCGTTACATACAGTTAAGGATGCATAGCGCCAGCTCAGCCGTCAGGCACGTACATACTGGAACCATACAGCAATGTCAGCAAAAACTCTAACATAAAAACTTTATAGCACAGGTATCACAATGTATTAAATATGACTGCAATTGGTAATGATCACAGAGATCACTGATTTCAGCCCTGGCCAGCTAAACACAAAATGAATCAACAAAAAATTGATTAGAAGACAGAATCAGATCCTAAAACAACAAAACAACAAAAATTCTGTAAGAAGCATCAAGTACATACTTAAAGAAACAGCATTATAAAGAATGGACGGAAGGAGGAATTGCTTGACAGTATCTCTGGATATCGGTTTGCAGTTCACCTTCAAAAAGCAAAGGCAGCCCCACAACTGCTGTGATGCTTCCTTATTTCAGGCAAAGCAACTAGCAAGAGGTAATTCTTCTCAGCAGCATGTTGAATTATGTATTTGTACATAAGCCTTAAATGTGTATTTTAATTTCACCTGAGGAAATTACCAACATTAATCCTACCCTTCTCAAATATCTCTGAATTTTTAATTAACCCAATACCATCATTTCAACCAGGCAGTCAGAAATGATGGGTAACATATGATTCATATTCAGAAGTAAATGCACCTGCTTTTCAACAAGATTTCTAATTACTGATTCATTTCACCCTTTACATGACGAAGCCAATTTGGGTCATACTGTTTTTAGCTGGTGATGAGTCCTTTCAGCTCACTAATAATGTATAAGGAATTGCTGCATCATCGGTTTGAACGACATTTTTAAATGCACTGTGGTGAATAGAATACATTACCAAAACACATCATTTTACTTCTGATATGTGTCAGTTCACCGTCAGCTTTCATCAGATAAGATTTTACCAGCAACATTTAAGCTGTCATTTAAAGGGACGTCCCACCATTTCACCATCTTGGGTCTACGTCCTAATGATCGAGGGAGTGCTACCACATGTTAAATATAACTAAGTGCTTACTTCTAACATGACAGACAAAAGGGGAAAAAAAAATGAACAAACATGGTTTTTAAATACTTTAGATGTCCTCTATAAACACTGCAGCAAACTGCAGTGAGACTATGAGGAGGTATTTACAGAACTGCCTCCTCTTCCTGACAGCACTACATCTTGGAGCAGTAAGCAAGTAAGCAAAGGGAAGCCTGCTTCAAAGGTGGCTCATCACCTTTCTACTCTGAATATTTAGTTTTTCCAGGACATGCACCTTCAGACGGCTGAAGCTGTTCTCACATAGATCTGACATGCACTTAGCCACTGAAATATGCGTATGACATAAGGTATATCTGCCGAAGTTTTCAAACCCTCTAACACAACTAAAATATGACAGGTTCTCATATGCAAAGCCCTATTTATTCTCAAATCAGTTTGCACACCAGCTTTCTCACAGTTACCATCATTAGCCTGACTTGTAGCACACTGGCAAATCCTATACATCTCCAAAGAAAAAAATAAACTTCCTTCTGGTTCAAGTCGTATAGATTTTATACAAGGAAGCTAGCTCCTTCTGACATCTACCTCTAAATTTCTTGATATAATGAGTACCATGCCTGCCCTGTTTCCTTTACTTGGTGTGCTAAATCATATTTCAGATCAAAACAATACAAAAGACATGAAAAAATAAGAGTCAACAACGGTTATGTCATTCATTTATCAATTTTAAACCATCACTTCAACAGCTTAAAGACTCTGTGTTCTAGTTATGAAAGTCCCTTCGCAGCTGTAAGAAAAAAAGATAGTTTTAAGACTCCTGGGTGAAAGCAGGACAGGCAGTGGAGCTGAACGCTGGCCTGAAGCCGCTGGCTCCTGGGGCAGGCAGGGCACCTGTGGGCAATGCAGGTACTGGTTTTGCAGCACCATATTTTCACATATATAAGACACATCTCTGGTATCTTGCAACCCTCTGAAAGTACCGTTTCCTCTGAATAATAGATATTCTGGAAAAGAACGAACAAACTATACATGGGCGAGTGTACCTAGCAGGATTAGAGGCTGGGGAACTATGGTAAGTGGGGATCCAAGGCAGGTGCTTCTTGCATTACTTCCCCACGTGCATTGCCAGTACTTACTGCTGAATGTCAGGAGGCTTGGGAGCTTAGTTCTATTTAAAAAAAATAACCCAAAGACTACACATAATGGAAAATAAACCCCTGCAGTACTCAAATTTACTCAAGATGATACGAAAATATTAAGGTCCTAGTTTATTCCCAAATAATTAGAAACAATGCTAACAACTAGAAACTATGGGATTTCAGTATGCAGTGATTTGAGTACACCCATAAAAAGCTTTAGCAGTTTTCAGGAGCTACTCAAAGCAAATTTGTTGATAATAACACTTACATTACTATGTATTATAGTAGAACAGCTATGTATTAAACAGACACTGCTACACAGGAATTACTGAACAAGCTCTGTGTAACAAGTGGTTCCAGTGATTTAACTTCTCCTTTAACAGTTTTTTCTTGGGTTTCTTTTTTTTTTTCCCTTAAACCCCAGCAATTATAATCTCATCCATACTAGCATCATGCAATCTGTGTTAATACTTTATCCACATTAACCATTATTACTTTATTTCCATCAGTAAAGGCAAGTACAAAAAGTTTATTAACAAACACACAATGCAAAAAAACTCTATCATTGGGTTATTTAAGTGAAATACAATCCCAATAAATACCAACTAAAATGAAACCCCAAATCTGCTATATAAAGAATCTAATAAGAGTCCCACATGGAATTCTGTAAGATTCCTTCTTTCTCATTTAAGGTAGACAAGGAACCAAATCTTTGTGAAACAAACAGAAAGGTGAGCCTAGGAGGCTGTCAGAAGCAAATCTTGAAATGCAAAAAAAAATCTGGGAAAAGGTAAAATCAAACCATCGCTAATAAGATACATCTTAACAGACTGATTCTATGAAAATTGGTGGCCCCAGTGACTTCGAAAAAAATCAAATCTTCAGAATTCAATAACTTTAGGTGAAAACCAAGCATCCAAGTTCTGGTCTAATTTACACAACAGATTCAAAAAAAGCAGACGATGACCTTGAGCTTGCACCACAGGAAATAGGTGGAGTATATATTTTTCACTTGCCATCCTCTATAATTAACTACAGGTGTTCACCGGAAGCAAAAGCAAAGACATCCCTATTTGTCTAAAGCTTTCCATGTTTCATTTAAGACTAGATTTCAGTTAGGAAAAGGCAGCCATGGAACAGTTATATATCTTCAATGAAGAGAAAATATCAAGTAGAGTGAATAGAAAGTAATTATTTCTTAATTCAGCATATCATGTTTCTCTTTACCAAAGAAGGTGCGTTTCAGTAAAGCTTTACCTTGCTCACAATGACTTCCTGTGAATCCAGAAGGGCAGACACATTTGTTAGGGGCTACACAAGTTCCACCATATCTGCACCCCTCCTCACAGAATGCTGAAAAATAAAACGAGTATGTGGGTATTACTTAACTATTTTAAAATTTATTATACACTTGAAAGATACTAAGAAAAATATCTACATTCTAAGCAATTAACAGAATTCAACATATTAAAATTCAGTCCACCTGCAAACACAAAGAGAAGTAACTCAAATGACATGGGGAAAAAAAAACTCAGATTACACCGTAGGCAACCCACCTCGCCAATAAAAGATTAATAACCATCTGGAAGAAGAAGAGAGGGAAAAATACAATGTACAATTTTAATGGGGCTGATCTTCTTTCAATTATACCCAATATGGGTATTACAATTACAACGCTCTGGTGATCCACAGAGGACAGGCTGGTCAGACGGTAATAACTACTTTGTTTCTCACTTCTATCAATTCCACTTTACTGAAATGTCTGTGAACACATCATATTTTCCAATATTTTTATTTTTAAGTGTAAAGCACACTTTGTGGAATCGGGAAATGAAATAGGGTGTGGCTCATGACTGAAAACAGAGGAGAAGGGCTCAACCACAACATAATGCCTCTACTGAGGCGTGATTCTTGACAGAGCAATACACAAGTACTTAACAAGTGTATCTGTCCAATAACTAGGATTTGAAATGAATAATGGATCTCATCTCTTTTCTTGTGAGCACTGTGTGGCATTCCTCTCGCTTATAGCACGTTCAGCAGCAAGTCTACTGACTGTGCAAGAAGTACGCTTGCAGTTAAACGGTATTCTTTTTTCCTTCTTTTTGTTGTGCTTGTACAAGGAGGGGGACTGAGATAAGAGAAGGAAAGCAAAAGGCAAGCATCAGGACATGATCTGTTTTGCACTGGTAACTCGAGTCAGACCTTTGCCAAGACTAAGAGCAGGCTGACCCAGAACACACTCCCCACCCTCTTCTCGATAATTATTGAACTCACAAGTTACTCAGTGGGTTTCACTGCACTTACAAGAAAAGTATACAATTAATATTTAAACAGCTCTCTGCATCTAAGCTAATAAGGGAATTGCAAAGTGTTTCCTGCAAGCTAAAATCACAGATGGAGTGTTGGCAAAGAGATGTTACAAATGCTATGAAAAGGCTTAAAGTGCTAGGTAACAGAAGAAATGTTTAAGATTTATTTCCCAATGTACTAAAAAGAAAAATAAAGTGAATAAAATACTAGGCATTAAAAAGAATCTTTTCGAATTGTTAACCACTTAGAGGCAAAAAAGCACATCATCGTATCTCTTGACTGAATTGATAGACGGATCTGCCTTACTCTAAATATATAATTTGTAGCATGTCATGCTGTTTTATGGAGGATATCATGGGGAGAAGAATGCTAAAGTGGTTTAGAGAAGATGTTAGTAGAATATCATAACCACTCCTGTGACTGGCGCAAGGCAGCAGTGTGGAGAAAGCATGGTTCTTGCCCAGTAACTCTTCCAGCTCATCAATGCACATACTCCTTATGGGAATCCTCTGAAATATATCTGTTTTGAAACCAGCCAATTTCTACATTATGGGAAAAAGAGAAATACAGTTTTAAGAGTAGAATTTTTTGCTTTTTTGCATATAAATATCTGTAAAAAAGTATAACTGTGCAGAAAGCTGAAAGTGCCAGTATGAAATATAGCTAGAAAATATATGAAAAACACGATGAGAGTGAAAAGATTCCCTCCACAGCTCTTGAAACAATGTTTGCTCATTTCTAGTCTCAGCACTCTCAGAGAAAGTACAACTTAAAGTCTCCATCTACGTTTTTTCCGGTTTAATATTGAGAGTAAGCAGAGATTTTCTTGAAGTAATAATACATTTCTGCATGACATCAAAAGAATCAGGATTTGTGGCAGAGCAGATATATAGAGCAAAAGAAGAAAAATATTGGCAAAAATGAGAATGGGAAAGAACTACACAGGGGTCATAAAATAGAAGTAGTCATAAAGGGCATAAAAAAAAAAAGTTTATTGTCTATAGCAATCATGCACGCCCATTGAAAGTCATTAGAGCTGATGGGGCTAGGTAGGTAACAGGTGGGCTTCAGTTACAGCGCTCACACATGTTCTTTGCCATCATGACCGATACTGCCAACTTGCTAACACGAAATGCGTGCTTCTTAAAATAAATCCTGTTCCTAGGTCTGCACAGTAAGGTGGTGGTTTTTTCTGTTCTCTTTTAAGGTTACTAACACAGAAAGCGTTATGAGACAGGGCTGATCATATAAAAGATTTTCCCATTAGTGCAAAATTTGTGTTATGCCAACGCAGCAGCCAGGTCTTGACATCTACAGGCACTGCCAAGCATCCTATTCACATCTGGGAGAGAAAGACTGGGATACCTGCCACGGGTCACAACTCCCTCTCTGTCCTTCTACTCCTTCTTACACATCTGTGTCAAAACACGCCTCCCGTATGCACACCCAAATGTGCTAGTGCCTACTTGTGAGCGTTTTGAAATTCCCCTATCCTTTAGGGGTCACATCTTAGCAACTTAAAAACCCAATAACTGCACAGGGACACCCCAAGGAATTGCTCTACTACTGCACTGCTCACTGCATGAGAAGTCACTCAGGCACTAGCATGTTACATGGATGTCAGAGAGAGGATGGAATTGGGGAAGAAGCTGGGAAATGGCTGCCAAAGGAAAGAATTCCACCCTCCTTTTCAATTTTTCCAGAAGCTGAAAAGTCCTCTGCAATACAGACTAACTGCTTGTCTTTGTTGCTCAGACCTTGGCACATTTGGGAGGGGTGGTTCATTCTTATATTTTTATGCAAGAAAAGAGAATCCCAAGGAAGAGTGCCAGAATTATCCCCCTGCTCCCCAGACGGTTCCTCTACAAACCCTCTGACTCCTCCATTACAGGCTCACAGGAAGTGGGAACACCAAGACCACAAATCTCAGAGTGTAGTTACAAAATCAAAATGTTTGTCTAAAGGCTACTTTCCTGAACTGCTACAAAAAAGTGTTCACAGTATTATATGCAACACCGATAGCACTACACTGAATTTTAAGAATGGTCAATACATTTAATAATAGAAATTCATTTTCAGTTGCTAGCAATTGTACTAAACTTCACTTATTTGAACTATTTTCTCTGGTAGTTCTGCCTCTGGCTAAAGCCTTGTGGAACATTTCATCAAAATCCCTTCATTTCCAACAATGAGATTTTTCCTTTACACCTTTAGTCAAAGAGATCGATTAAGGAAAAATCTTTACATCACTTTGTGCCTATGCCTTATGGACAAGAGGACCCAACAAGGAGCAGCTCAGTGACTGAATCGTAAATCAACTGGAGTGTCCAGACTCTCACGAAACTACCTGCTTTGTTATATGTCTTGTGGGCTGTGGGACCCAAGACCTCTGCTGTGCTCTAGGCTCTTCAAAATCAAACCTCTGTTTGGGGAGGGGCGACAGGGACCAACCAGTACCACAGAAATAGCAGTTATAAACCTTGATTGCAGACTCCCTCCTACTCAAAGAAAACAAGAAAGATAAAACAATGCTGGATCGTATTTGCTAATGTATTCCCATAAATAGATCCTGTCTCTGAAATTATTTGCAGGCTGGCAAACTTGTTAAAAAGGAGAATGGTTACTGAATTTGCAATAAAGGTTTTAATCGGGAAAGTTAAGTGAAGATGCCATTAGACTAAAGACTACATGGGTAAACCTCCATCATTAAAGAGTCTTCTTCAGTATTCCATATGTAAAAGAAATGGAATCTATTGATTTCAGGAGGCTTCTGTCAAAGTGAACAGACCTCTGTAATGCTAACAGATTTCTTCCTCTGAAGCAAAAGCCTTTATCATATAAAGGCCTTTCCTAAATAGACGCAATTTCTCTGAAGAGCAGGAGTTTTATTTATGATGTATGTCCTCCCTGATTATAGATGTGTAGAGACCAGAAACAGACAAAATGATAAATTTGCTGAATTTGTCATTTTTGTGATAACCTTGCAGGGACAGGAGAGTCTCACCGTGGAGCTCCACAAAGAGCAGCATGAAAGTACCCACTAACTTGGCACCATGCCCCTGGACACGCAAAGGTTGCATACCCGCTGCCTACGGATTTATAGAGTATAGCTTCTTTTCCCCTGTCCAGTCAAATAGAGTTATCTCCTCTCCCAGTAAGGCTATTATGGATAACCCCAGGAAGGAAAAGAAAAAGTTAGCAGAGCTAAAGCCTCTTTGAGTGGAAGGTGTGGAACGTGCCTGACATTTTTGTAAGTTCCTTTTGTCCTTCCCTAGATCTAGGCAGTAATGCGCAAGAGAGCCTGTGTGAGGTAGGCATGTCAACCACAGCTTCAAATATTTGTACTTTCTGTTGCTGAAAATTGTAGTCTCTTTTTGGCCCCTCTGCTTACAAGACTCAGGTAAAGCTGGACAGTTTGGGTTCCAGCCTCCTTTCCTACAGAGTCAAAGGAATTGCCTTCATTGTTCTAGCTTTTTTTATGGCAGCACAGTACAATACTTCACTGTGCTACTACAGGAAAGCACGTACTCCAGCACGGAACCATCATGCTGAACAAAGACCTCTTGCTTACAAGCATAATGCAGTAATTATGATAAAATAAAAACGTTTATATTTATAAATATATACAAAATATTTTTATTAAAATAAAAACAACAAAACCCAAGTCATTTTCCTACAAATTTCAAGGGAATTATTTTACTATGAAGAGATACAAAAGCCACCTTCCCAAACAGATATTATTTCTTGATATATACAAAAATTAAATTTTCTATAAAGCTACAGTAAAACATCACAACATTAATATTACCGTTGCATTAGTATTTTATAAAGTGTCATATACTGAAATACATTTATTTAATGCACCTTTTAATAAAGCTATTTTGTGATGTTGCCCTGGTACAGCATCATCCCTACTTTTACAGCTGTATCACCCACTACGATGTTACCACAGGCATATAAAATGACCAAATGCAATGGAACCATGGGTATAATATACTGCACTCCCTTTCTTCCTTTAACCTGTCTGCCCATTACTTTTC